TTTACATTCTAGTAATTATAGCTGTAGGGTCTGAGAATAGACTTTTGACTGAATCAGCTTTTGAGAATCAGGACCTAACCTGACCAATTTCCTTCACTGTCTCAGGTTGGTTTTTATTGCAATACTAAGGGAAACAAGCAAAATCCTCACAAAAAAAAAAAAAAAATCACAAGCCTAAGTTTAAATTTGAAAACAACTTGTTTACATTCTAATTCTAAACAGAAGAAAATGTTCAGTAGAAGACATTCTTCCTGAGTGAAGAGAAGACTGGTGACTTCTCGAGGCAAAGAGCTGCTAATTAGACAATTGCAGCAGACACCACTTGGTTTAGCAGATGCTTGCATCTCCAAGGAACTGAGACAAGGCCTAATTTAACGACGATCAGAAAGAAGGTCTCCTAGATAAGAAAACAGACTAGCTTTTTGAGAGAAAGATTAAATCTGACTGGACCCCTGGAGGAATTCAAAGGAGGGAGTAGCTATAAACCTAGATTGTTCCAGTAAGGACATCCTCTCAACTCAATGTAACCTGAGACAGAAGATACAAAGGCATTCACTGCCAGGTGGGTATGAGGAAAATCCACAGCAAGTCAGACAGAGGAGGCAGTCAATATAACGCCTCTTCAATTTAACCTCTGAGCCGCAGCCGGGTGGAAGTCCTTTACCTGTGAGCGACTGTGTATGTGTGTTTATGTTTTCTGGCAATATTTACCTGTGCTATTTTGGACTCTCATGTATCAGCAAAACTCAAGCAAACCTTACTATGCCAGACTGATATTTTGTTTTTATTTCCTTAGAGTTCAACAAGTAAACCAAATGGGTGAAGAAAGCTTGAGAAAAAGAAAAGGAGAGGACAACAGAAAAGAGGATGGACAATCCACTAGGAGTCATGAAGCCCAAACGACGAACCTACAAAAGCAGGCAAAGCTTCTTCTTTTCCCCCTTCAGTCTGTGTGTGAGGGGCTGGCAGAGGTGGCAGCAGGGGGTTATCTGTGCACATGCATCATCATAAGAAAACTACAATTGTGTCCGATTTATCAGTGATGTACTAACATCTTGGTGGTGTGGTTTGTTTACATTTTAGGAAATTGCTAATTACTAGTTAAATTGCTCTGACAAACACATTTTTCTATCTGCTAACTTCAAAGTTGATCAAGTGAGACGCTTCATAAACTTTACTGTATCTTTCCATGTGTACTTCTGAGAGGCCAAAGTGGGTTGTTTAGCTCATTGCTTCTGCAAGTTTGTTGTGTTTGTAGCTGTAAGCTAGCTACTGGTACAGAAAAACAAGTGAAAATTTGTCTCCTCCAGGAAATTACAGATGCTTTAGAAAACAGATGTGACACTTGCTCTCAGGAGGGAGTGGAATTCCTCTTAAATTTAAGCAACCAGGAAAAAGATTCTCTATGTGGTTTTAGTTTGGTACCAAGACTGGAAGAATATTGGTGTTGTTACACTAGTCATAACTAACAGGAAAAGTAGCCCACACCACTGTTCTTTGTAGCAGGAGGTGCCCCATGTTTTAGTAGTTTCATGTAACATGTAGGGCACTACGAAGTCAGGAGAACTTTGCACCACCGAGCAGTATCAAGACAATTCCTGTGCACAAATACCTGAATCAAGGAGAAGAAAACAACTGCTGAAAGACAAAAAAAGACTCCATCCAAGAAAGCGGATTTTTGAAACTTAGAAAATTCAGAATTCCTCGAGTGCTCACAAAAATGTCAGTATTTTACCAAAGAGCAGAAAGGGAAGGTTACAAGGTTAGATTTAAGACCCATATAATCCAAAGGATGGTTTAATAAAGCAAATACACAGGCAGGCAAAGTCCAACTAACTGTACTTTTGGAAACAGCAGGAGTACACCACAGGGTGTGTACGCATCTTGGAAAGAAAAGAGAAACTTCATTTAACGTATTACTTTGTAGAAGCTACATGTTGAAAGCTGAAAAGAGATGTCAGTAAAGAGAACTGCTATAATTGTATTATACCAGAAAGTAATTATTGAATTATTAGAAATTACTTTACCAAAATGTCTCATTTTATTTCAAGGTGGGCCTCATCAGTGGAATCTGTATGATTGTTGGTACAATTATTGGTTCAGGCATCTTTGTTTCTCCAAAATCGGTACTTGCCAATGTTGGAGCTGTGGGTCCTTGTTTAACCATCTGGGCAGCCTGTGGAATTCTTGCAACATTAGGTAAATGAGTCAACAAGGAATTTGAATCTTTGCATCCATTGTTCCCCGCATGCTACTGTCATTCCACAAATCAGCTAACAGCACCTAGACCAAAATCAATCATATCCTGGTGAGTGTAGCAGCACTCAGGCAAAAACTTCAAATATGAACTGTTTATAAATTTTTAAACTTGTAAAGCACATTTTCACTTCATTTTGAAAGCAAGTTTTAGGTTTGCTTACTTCACCCACTTACTGTAATAAAGAGAACATTTTTCTACTTAAATTGCAGGCAAAATGTTAAATTTACTGGTAGTGAGCTAGGTACTTCTATTTTTCTACTTGCATAATTGTGTAAATCTATTATCTGAAAATTTAGCACTAAGCACCTCAAAATATTTCAGGAAGTAAACCAAAAAGGAATTATTTGGGCATTTTATCAGGTACACAGCATACGCAAAAAACCTTTATGCAAGATGCCAGCTACAGGAATACATCTAGATCGTTGTGCTTTGAAGCTGAGCTTAGCAGACATTTTACTTTAAAATTGTGCAGTGTCTATTTTTTTCAAGTTTCCAGAAGGTAGGCCAGCCAGTGCAGCTGTCACTTAGATGCTTCTTAAGAGTGTTTGGTTTCTTAAACAGAAATCTAATACGAAATCAGAATCTTTGCACTTTCTTTGCTGAAGTCTTAAACACCAATAGTAGTAAATTCTGGACTATAACTTAATAGTTTCAGTATATTTTGCCAATTGCTCACAAGTAAATAAAATTTTATTTTGCATAGACACTAAAATGTACAGAAACATGAAAGGAGTATTGACGCATTGTATATATCCATTTCCTTAACTTTTCTGCCTATTAAAGTGATAATCTGTTCTACCCAGTCATAGCTTAAGAAGTGTACGAGCTAAACCAGTAATAAATGCTTTTCTTGGTATTTAGGTGCGCTTTGTTTTGCTGAGCTTGGTACAATGATCACAAAATCCGGGGGAGAATATCCTTACCTTATGGAGGCATTTGGCCCAATTCCAGCATTTCTGTTTTCTTGGACAAGCTTACTCGTCACAAAACCCAGTTCATTTGCCATCATTTGTCTCAGCTTTGCGGAATACGCATCAGCTCCTTTTTATCCAGGTTGCGATCCACCCCAAGTTGTCACCAAGTGTCTTGCAGCAGCTGCCATTGGTAAGATTCATACGTTTTAAGACAGAGACAAGGTCGGTAACTGTATAGCGATTTCCGTTTGGCCCCACCCACGAATGCATTTCAGCACAGTGCGACTTCAGTAGGTCAGTCTTCATTGAAGACACCAGGAAGCGACGCTATGCTGAAAGCCACAGAACACTGGAACACAGTACAGTGAGTCCTTCCCACAGTAACTAATTCAACAACATATAAATAGGAAAGGCTTAAAAATTGTTTGTTCCTTGTCCAAGTTTTATTGATGGATGCAGCTGCATAATGAATGCTTATCTCTAGCAGAAAAGGAAGAAAAATTAAGTGTGGAGATATTATTTCTGTATTTATCAGAACACTGTGCACCCTTGATATATTTTTTTGTTAATGATGCTATCAAAATCTAATTCAGAAAACTTTTTCCTCACTATTTTAAAAGTTATCCAAACATAGCATGTTAAAAAACTGTATCAGTAATACATAAAAATCTGTATCAATCATATAGACAAACTGTGGGAAGAAAAAGTGGTACAGTACATGGGGGGGGGGAAAGAAGGCCTTAAGAGATAACTTTTCGTTACAATTCTTACAAATTTAACGCAGAAATTAATACATTTATTTCTTTTAGTGATAATTACAATAGTGAATTCACTGAGTGTAAAGCTGGGAAGCTATCTCCAGAATCTTCTCACAGCTGCTAAAATGATCATTGTCACAATCATTATTGTAAGTGGAATTGTTCTCCTTGCACAAGGTAATTAAATATACTTTACTTGCAAAAATTATTTTAGCTTCTTTTATGACCATTAAAACATTTTCCCCTGACAGAAGTGGCACACCAACATGGCTCTATTCAGTGTTTTTCTTCCAGATCTCTTTGGAACTACGGGATTTCCTTTTAGAGAAAGGGAGGTGGGTGGGAAATGCAACACTACAGATCAATTAATAAAAACTGGTATTAATTGATTTTAACAGTGAGATGTTTCAAAACATGAAATGGATGTTGGAATGTTTCTTCATCTGGTGGGGATTAAAGGAATTAATTTCAATACTGATATAGTAATCTATGTCTTATTTGCAGGAAAAACGGAAAACTTTAAAGATTCTTTCAAGGACAGTAAAATTTCTGTTAGCTCTATCAGCCTGGCATTTTATAATGGCCTCTGGGCATACGATGGATGGTAAGGTATCTTTACTAGCGTTAACGGTTACAGTTTAACAGCCTTTTAACGGGTTTACTCTCTCTGTAGAACTCAAAGATGTGATTTGAAGAAGTTAACACCTGACTTGTTATTACAAATGTCTTAATGAATTCTGGAAAAAGAATACCAGTTTGCTCAAAAAACCCCACAAAACAAACCACCCCCAAAAAACCCCAACCAAAACCACCAAACCCCAAAGGCCTCCAATCCTCAAATTGCTGTTTATCAGGGAAGGAAACTATACTAGATCCTGAAAGGGCCACCACTTTGCTGCTGCTGAAGGTGCTTAGATACTGTGGTAACGAGGAGAATGTAACACAGTTTAATTCTATGATGTTAGGCAAAATCGCCTTCCCAGGGCTCCTACACATTACCCCATCAAATTCCAGTTATTGTGAAATATGCAGTGATGTTTGATTTGGACAGGAGGACAGAAAAAAAAACCCAAAGTGTCAGAACTCATAAGGTTCAACTTCCAAATTTTTTCTTATTCAGTTTCATTTTGAATTAATGTAAAAACATTGACGTCTTCTTCCATGAGAAGCTTTCAATTTTATACCTCTGCATCTGTTTATCCATTATTATCTGCCATGTTAGATTTAAGAAAATACTTAGATTTGAAAATAATCACAGATATGGATGGATTTATGTTTCCATTTATGTTCTACATACAGCATTTATATTTAATACCGAGAAGAGTGCTTCCCAGAATTATTTTCGTAAGAATAAACTTACTGCAGGCATATTTAACTTAATCTCTGCCACATTCCAGAAAATAGTTTACACATTTAATTTCCTGAAACTAAAGGGAATGTCAGTTGGTCTAGGGCTTTGGTGGCACGAATCTAATATCAAGGTCTGATCTGTTAATGCTACTCTTCGATGTTCAAACTGTAAAAGTTGGCATATAGATCCTTATTCTGGAAGGAATTAAGGATGTAAATCTTAATTTAAAACAAAGCAAGTCCCATTTAGATGCTTACAACTGAATTTATTTTTAAATGGATTACCCTTTCTGATTCTATTTCCAAGCTTGAATGTCTCAAGTCAGGCATGTAAGTCTGCTAATTCAGACATTCACCTGGATTTTTAAGGGGGCAGGGAAGTTGGTGCCTAAATAGTTATTTAAATATGTATACACCAGGCACCAACATCTGAAAATTAGCCTATTGAACTGTAACTATCAGCTGCTCCTCACATTTTCAGAGGTTGATAAGTAAAATTCTTGTTTCAAGCTTGTCTACATGCTCTAGCAAAAATTAGTATTTGGAAATGGTAGTTCTGATGGGTGCAATCCTTAAAAAGGATTTCACGCCAGTTTTCTAGACAATGTGACTCAGAACAACTGTGAAATCTTAGCGGGTTTGCTTCAGTCCTTGGAATGGCCACTTGTGCTTTCATTTGAAAAGACTGAGATATTCCAAAACTTGAACTTCAAAGGCAATCTTGTAAATCTGCCAAATATTTTTTGTTATTCTGAGATTTTATCCAAGAACTAAGACAATCTTATTTTGAAATCTCAGAGATACTTCTAAAACTGTGAGGAGGAAAAGACAATGGGGGAAAAGATGGTGAATCAAGAGAGTGACATTTGCATGAACATCTCACAGATTTTTGTCCTGCACTTTTACCACATAAAGATTGGTTGTACCGTTTTGTTGGGGTTTTTTTGTTGTTTTAACTGAAAAGGTAAAATACAGTAACACAGGAAGTAACACCTGACATCATTATGTATTAGTATTTCAGCACCTGACTGCTAAAACCATTGTATGAATGTTCTTCCTTCCAGGAATCAACTAAATTACATCACAGAAGAACTTAAAAATCCTTACAGGTAAAAAACTATGTAGGAAAGCAGCGTTTCAAACGACAAAAATCAAACAATATTTTTGTATAAGCAGGCATATATTTTGGTTTGTTTTTAAAAGCAATAGCTATTTAAGGTTTCAGCATTAACAGACAAAGCTAATCAGCATCTATTACAGACTTCATAAATTTGCATATTTTTTAATTTTTATTTTTCCTTTTTTAAAATTCTGATTTCCATGGCTCTACAGTAAAGAAATGTGAATACACCTAAAGAGCATACCGGGAAAAGTAAGAGTCCACAGTTTACTGTGACAACTCTACCAGTGATATAGTATTGCTGATGGAATCTTGCTTTTGCATTCTTCAGAAATCTACCGCTATCTATAATTATTGGAATCCCCTTGGTTACAGTTTGTTACGTTCTGATAAACATTTCCTATTTCACCGTAATGACTTCAACAGAACTCCTGCAGTCCCAGGCAGTTGCTGTGGTAAGCCACTTTATTTTGTAACAGAGCATCTGAAGAAGGCTGTGTGCATTAAAGCCATGAGCAAAAAGGAACCTGCAATTTTTCTTAAGAGACAATTAATTTCTGTCTAGCTGTGTCACCTTTTCTCCCCCAATTATCTACTGTCATTTCTTAATCTAAAATTTATTTCAGTAAAGCTTGATTTAAACAGTAGTTCTGTCATATCCCAAGGAAAAAAAAGCAGCAAAAGTAATGTAGTCTTCAGCTAACATCTTGTAAATGCTGCAGCTCAGAGGCTGTTTTCTGTAAGCACCAAAAAGATGGAAGGAAAAATAACATCTGACTGCTGCTTTGCCCTTTTCAGTGTTCCCAGCGTTTCTGAGAAAAAAGCACATGCAAAATGACAGTAGATCAAAGTTTGCTGGTCTAGAGATAACAGCAAGTAGTCTGTAATTCACTTCCTCCTTATTCTTGCTTTTTTTCTTAAAGCTAAGAAATATCCTTTTTATATTACTGCAAGACATCCTATTACAGATAAAATTAAAGAGTATATTAATTTCTAAAATCTTAACACACACATCTGTCCTTTCAGTTCCACTTGGTAAACTTTGTGGGATATCTGTCTTTGAAACAACTGTTGAGAGGTTATGCAGCAATTTTTCGAAGTGTTAAGGTTTTGGGGAAAACAAACAGTATGTGACACACATGCAAACTAGAGTGTAGCACAGCAAAGAAGTACACTAGTGTAGAAATAGTTAAAAACACTAAAAATTAAAATCCTTTAAAATATAGAACTTCAGGACATTTCAGCATCTTGTTTACACCAAGAGATACAGCAATGCATAGATCAAGTTATATCTTGTTTAAGAACTAGTCCTTTTCAATATACCACTAAATGTACCGTCTGAGCAACACACATCAGCCAGCCCTGAACTCGTCAGACTAAATTAACACCAAAATCTCAGAACTGAGCAGTACAAAGGCAGCAAAGCAAACAGCAAAAGGGGCATACGCTGTATGAAGAGGTCTACACATCTCAAGCAGACTCCCTGCCTAGCACTGACGAGTGTCCTACTGCTGGACAAAAACCAACACCGATGTTACACCTGTTATCACTGACTTACTAAAAAAAGTTAATCAATGCCATCTAAAAACCCAAAGCCTACCTCTCAAAAAAGTTTTAATTCGTTTACAGTAGATCAGTGTACCTACCTTAGATCTAATCCCCCCTGCAGTAACAACTAACACACCATGGCACAGGTAGAAACTAAAGCGTAGTGACTGACAGACCTCAGCAAGGTTGCCCTTTACCCGTCAGGACTAGGTTATCCTGCTGTCACTACTAGTGTTACTCCTACATGGGTTGAGACCAGCTTGCGTACGCGTGGCGCTCTGCTGCAATGCTACCTTTCTTTTTGCTTTGCAGACATCACCAAACCAGGTGTCTTTAACAAAATTCAATTTCTGTGTATTTTTTATGTCTGCCTCCCAACATTTCCTACAGATGTTGCATCTCAAATATGACAATATTCCACTCTTTAGAGAGTCATTCACTAATTAATCCAGGCCTTCATTTGGCAAAGCATTCTTTAATAACTACACAAAATATACAACATATGTTTTTATTGGTAACATACCTTGGATACCCATTTACAGTAATTTTAAAGAGGCTCCAACATTACTGAATATACCAAATGGTAGTTAAAATGACAAAAATGATTAATTTTAATCCCATATCCCAGACATTCGGAGATAGAGTCCTTTATCCAGCCTCTTGGATAGTTCCTCTCTTTGTGGCCTTTTCTACAATTGGATCTGCCAATGGGACCTGTTTTACTGCAGGCAGGTAAGCTCCCATTCCAAGTATTTTAAAATGAAAATTTTTAAAGGATGGAAAAATTTATATATACATTGATGTATCTACACACATGAAGATACAGATATTCTTCTGATCCAAATGTACAAAGTGCAATTTACAAGTACCTGCAAATCTAGATCTATTGGTTAATTTTCAAAAAGAAAGAGTGGCTATGCAGGTTTGAAAAATTAGAAACTAAAGTCTCTTAATCCAAAGCAGGAATAGCACAAAAGGGTTGTTTTATTTTTCACCTCTCATCAAATTTAAAGCTAAGAATTAAACAGTTAATACACTATGAGTAAGAACATGACTACACCTGTAACAATAAACATTTAGAACTGGAAAGAGAAGCCATACCTTTCTATCAGTTATTCAACACTTCCATTTACTATTTAAAAATATTTTAAATTTCAAATCCATGTGAATACAATAGGCCTATAAAGACTGATTTTTTTGACAGAAGATCATCAACATAGCCTTTTGATATGAAGCAAATTAAAAAGGGAATATTTAATTAAGAGACACAGTAGCTAACTTCTTTTTTTCCAAAATTTTAAATTAAACGTGCAAACTAATGATTCTGAAATTAGTTTCAACTTCACCACTTAAATACTGGTTAAGAAATAGCTTCAAGTTCACTGCTTTACCACTGTTTATTTCCCTTATTTCACTCTACTACAATACTCCTTAAAACCCATTGCCCAACAAAGGAAATATCGATGACATCACAGTCAGCTGTAGCTACACAATAAAACAAACCTGAAAATGAATGGTACTCTTTTTTTTTTTTTTCTTTTCCACTAATGCCACTTGAAGTCTGGGTGCCACACTAACTAGATTGCCTTGCTTTTGTTTTGTCAGACTGGTTTATGTTGCAGGGCGCGAAGGGCACACGCTAAAAGTGCTCTCTTACATTAGTGTTAAGCGTTTAACACCAGCACCTGCTATCATATTTTACGTAAGTATATATTCTAAGTACAGAAAAATTATGAACAAAAATTGTCCAGTAATACATGTTTTCACAATTTCTTGCCAGAAGCCTTGACATCTATCTTTGACTATCGAGACAAGGAAATTGCTAAATGCATGTTAGGAAAAAAGGCTGTATGAAATCCCTCAGCTTCTCAATTTGAACAGTTTCATTCCAGAACTGGATTCTAAAAATCAAAATGTTTAAGAATCCACAAGCATGAAAACAAATTAAAAATTCAATGAATGGTTAGTATTAGGCAAATCCTTTATTTCACAGGATGCCTGAAAGCAAGCTATCACTACCCTATTTCTGCTCTGTAAGGACGCATTTACACCTCACTAAAAGTCTATCCAGTAAACACATTTAAACACAAATCCGATCTTGTCATTTTTATTTTACCCATTTACCTTATCTTCAAGGTAAAACAAAGATAAAATTCAAAATTCAATTGCTCTATCGACTCCCAGTAACTTTAATAAACTAAAAATGTGTTTAGTCTCTTCACTTACGATAGGCAGCCAGTAACAAAATAGATCAACGCATACAAATTTTGAGTCTTTTGACTTAAAATGGAATTAAGATTGCACACAAAAATAAACACATGTTGGCAGGATGTGGACACTATCCTTAAAGGTGCTCCAATACACTTAACACCCAAATGTTTAAGCAAAAGCATTCACAGTTCACACTCTGGAACACCTTAAACGAACACCCATACTGGCACGTAAGTAAAATTCAGCTTTCTTTTATAACAGACTATACTAATTTTTGTATTCATTTTAGGGGGCCATTGCCATTATTTATATTATCCCTGGTGACATTGACACACTCATAAATTATTTTAGTTTTGCAGTCTGGATATTTTATGGTTTAACCATACTTGCACTCATTGTTATGAGGTTTACAAGAAAGGAACTCAGGAGACCAATCAGGGTAAGTTCCGCATTCCATATGGCTTTTCCTCCGTTCCCATAAATACTGAAACACACTCATCCTAAACATTGGGATATTTAAATGACATCCTCACACAGAATCCTCCTTGTTTGTTTGGGGTTTTTTTCCCTTAACTGAAACCTAGCCATTTATTTGTAGTTCTTCTCTTGGTTCTAGTTTCACATTAGGACAAAGCTCACAAGCACTGGGAAAAGATTACATGTTTATTTTTACTTGAGTAAGACCAGGGGCACAAGCCAGATTTTCAGGGATGGAAAACTGCAGTCAGCAGACTACCACTATCTGAAATAAGACCCCATGTCATTGCACTGGAGTCAGGTCCCAGATTTATTAAAATGCAAAATTTTTACCCTGCAATTTGCATTATAGACAAAGAGATCTGGGTCAATGATTTAGCAGAAGAGTTTTCCCTATCCATAGTCTTGATACTCTTTCAATTGCCCCATCTAATTCCAGAAATTTTAAAAGGAAAAAAATGCATAAGGCAATGAAAATATTCTTCTTTCACATATGCAACTTCTGTAAGACGAGCAAAAGAATAAACAAGTAATTTTGTGCTTTGTATCTTGCAGATACCCATCATCATTCCAGTCATAGTGACATTAGTCTCCGTTTTACTGGTACTGGCCCCAATCATCAGTGCACCTGAACTGGCCTATTTGTACTGTCTTTTATTTATACTTAGCGGACTTATAATTTATGTACTTTTTGTTCATTTTAAATTCAACTGGCCCCAAAAAATATCAAGTAAGTATACTTCAGATAGCCAGCTCCAAATCCAACAGAATATTGCTAAGCTTTAGATTAATTACCATAATGAAGCTCATGATATAGTCCGTCCCATCTAAATCACATGTGCGGGGTGTGGAGGGAGGCAATTTAGCAGACATAGTGAGGGGCATATAGTCAGCTTTACTAAAGGTTGTATTTTACTCCTTCCTGTGAAAAAAAAGTCATGTCTGACTTCAGGAAAAACAAAACTTAATTCACAAAAAAGCAAACCATCACTGTAGTAGCACAAAGACACTGACTTTTAAAATGCACAGAACTATTTTATCTGTAAAGTTAGTTTTTCAATTGTCTGTATTTTGAAACATTATTTTAGCCAGTAAAGATTAGCAGCCATGCATTCTTATGCCACAAAATGCTGTGCTTTTAGCTCAGGTTATCATTTTACTATATTTACTAAAGGAAACATTAGCAGCATTAAGACCAAAAATAATCCCAGTACTGCAGGGTAAAGCGAAAGCTGCATGAACCCAGTGTGCCCATTTATGAAATGATTTTGCATAGTTTCAAGAGAAACTCTTTGCAATTACCTCAGGGAAAACAGGATACACAGATATTTCTAAAAGGGACAGTGGAACCAGCTGAAGAGGACAGAATTAGTAGTTCTACAGACATTAAAAAAAAAAATCCATCATCTGTCTCTCCTGTCCCCGGGATTCTTAAATATTATGTAATTAAGCAACTAGAAGCATTGTACTCTAACAAGAGCAAGTTTAGAAGCCCTGGAATGCTGTAGCTTGGATCTTAAGGTTGCTTTTATTCCCTACTCCTTATTTTTTGAGATATGAATATAGAAGACAGACAACTACTCACAAGGATGATTTTCTCACTTAGAAAAATAGTGTAAGTCTCAACAGAAATACTCTTCTCATAAAACCTCTAACAGTAACTTTTTTCCTCAGAGCCCATCACTATGCACCTTCAGATGCTTTTGGAAGTTGTTCCAGCAGAGGAAGTTACTGAATAAAACATTTTATATGTATCGGGTTGGTTTTAAGTGCTATACTGGTTGAAGGAGATTCAATTTAGTTTGGCACACATTCATACTTTCAAAATTGTTATGTTTGTACTGGTGTATTATTTTTGCAACACTTTAGTACTTGAAAAACATTATATAATAAAAGGTTTCTGAGCCAGATTACAGTGTCCAGCAGAGCTGTTTTCATTGTTTGCTAACATGTTATGTTACCTTGTTTTCTGCATTACAATTAAAATAAACAACAGGAACTTTTCAATTACGAAGACAGCAAAACTTAACAGGAACACTGTCAAGACGCTTTTGATCACACTGCTGAAAGAACACAGCAGCTATAATTTACAGCACATTCAACAGGCCACACAGAAAGGACAGAAATAATGCAAAACCAGACTAACCCATTCTCAGTTCCTCAGACTAAACACCAGCTATCAAAAAATTAAAGACTGAGGAAGTGGGAATTAAGTAAAAATGGAAAGCACAGTTGCCACAAAGAGAAGAGGCTGATGATTTTTTTTTTAATCAAATCAAGATAATAAATTAATTTCTCAGGTATCCATTTTCTGACACCATCCAAGTTACAGAACAGTGAGTAAATGTTCATCATCCTAGAAACACTCCATTTAGTAGCTGATGAAAATAAAATAAGGAAAATAGATACTACATTAACATATAGAGGAAAGCAGCTTTTACCATCTCTGCCCAAGAAACATGGATTCTAGGTAACATTCTTTACTCCCATATTCCCTTTGTGCAAATGGATAAGGCAGGGAATTTTACCAAGTCATTTGTCAATATTTTAAAGTGATTAATTTGAGAAAGACTTTATACTGAAAGCACAAGTCCTCTCAACAGCTTCTAAGCACATTCATCCTAAATATATAACACCAGAATGTTAAGCAACTGGCTTAAGATGGTAAGTCCATACTAACTGTAGCCTACCAAATTCAACCAAAAGAAGCTACTTCTATCATCCTGAAGCTACAAATAAATAAATGAAACTTAAGGTCCTATATATTTCATTTTGTATCTACTGACATGAAAAAGCAATCCCAAAGGTACCTATAAAAATGATGAGTTCTAATGCATTTGAAGGAGATTTTGTGATTATAGTCAGATCCACAAAATACCAGTTCCACATGCAACCAGGGTAAAACAAAAGCAAAATGAAAGTTAAGAATGGCTAAGGAAGGTAATGGAGAACAGAACAAAATTGTAATTAGGTCATTACATATAAAGTGGCTACTTGCCCCAGTGTTTTGTCCCTATCACACTATTGCAACTGCTGCTCCCTACCCCAGTTGCTAAAACCACTTCACACGGAAGAACTATACAAGGTTCAGGGAAAGACCAAAGGAATAGAGTACTTTTGTATAAGGAATGACTATCTACTACAATTTGGAAGGCTGAAACAGAGATACTTGATTGAGGGCTGAGGGGAAAAATGATGATAGAGGTTCATAAGCAGAGTCTTAAGTGACAAGAAAATGGGAAAAGCAAACTATCTGTTCAGGGATGGCTTCAAAACACAGAAAAAAAATATTTCTTCACAAAATACACTGTTTGACTCTGGAATTCCCTAGTGCAGAGGAAGTGTTAGAAGTTGACATAGGTTCCAAAATAAAACGGAACTAATTCAAGTAAGAAGTCCACAGAAAAGCTCTTTCTTATGAAGACCCTGTCCAAGAATTGCTTGAGGCCAAATGAATATTCCTGCTACTGTATATTGCTACTTTTTTTACACTCTTCTTTACAGACTGGCTCTTGGAATGTGCTAAGAATGTACGGCTAAAACCAGCTTTTGCTTCTGCCTCATATAAGGTGTCTTATTTTTCAAACAAAAATTACAGATAATTTATGACTATTAACTAACACACTAGATTTATCTACCAACAGAAAAATCACCTTACATTATATTTAGGTATCAGACAAGTCAAAGAAGAACAAAACAAGCAAAGGAAAACATCCTCTCTCAACACTTCACCCCCCAGTTAGGTGATCTGACAGTCTTCTGTTTGCATCACAATACAGAGCAAGACTAAAATATAGTGACATTAGCTATTTCCTTAAGTACTTTTACAATAATTATAGCTTTGCAAGTACCTGTACTCGGGTGAAGGTGGTAATTAAGCTCAGTTGTAGTCAGGTTCCCAACAGCACTATTTTTTTTAAATCATACACTAAAAATTGCCACTGTTCCTGTCATACAGGGGTTTTCCATGGCATCAGCAATATTCTTATATATTCAGAAAGAAGCGGCTTTATTACATGCTAATACTAGATAAACTGTAACTGTCAGTGTAAACATATTAATACAGTCCTCCTCCCATTCTTGAAGACATTCCAATGTTTCTTGAAAGAATAATCCCTGACAAATAAGTATACTCTTCATAGTCAAGAATACAACAAACTTTTAGGATTCTTAAAATAAATCTGTAAAGTTAAGTCTCTATTCTGTATCACCATATAGTTATGTTGCGGAAACTAACATGCTTTAAAATCTAGAGATGCAAAGAGGCCAGTATCAGATTAATTTATTATAAATATCTTTTACATTACTACCTCACTGCAAGATATTCTGGATGTGCACAAATCTAACAGTGAAAAACCATTTACTAAAAGACGGTATATTAAAAGGCAAAGCCTTAGAGCTAAACAGACAAGATTTTATTGTTCATTTGCAAAGGAGAAAGGAGTTTCAGATAAATGAGAGGGAAGGAAATAAGAGCATTCATGAAAAGTGAAAACGTCAAACAAAACAAATACTGAAAGTACTATCACAGTGCTTCTTCCACAAAAGCTGTACAGCAGTTAAGTTACTATAGTGAGCTGCACTGTGCAATATTTCATACCAAGTCAACGTATTTCTAATCAAGAAACAGAAATTGCCATTGGAGTTGAGGCCCCATTTCTTGATGCAGAACTGACAAATGCACAATTGTCAACAAACCAATGCTGTATGAATGAGGGATAGAATAGAAACAATAGACAGATCACCATTTGTGAAACTTCAAAAATTACTAACTACTGCTAACACAGCAAATTCACTCAGATAAAGTAAACTGGAAGCTCTGCCATTACTAATAAATTCAACTGCTTCACAACCGAAGTTTAATCTTTAGTTTTTACTGTTTGGAAGGCACACGTGTATATGCACAAATCACCATTAAAGCCAACAATTTTAAAGTGAAGGCACTGGAAAACATATATAACATTCCTCTATGGAGTATTTCTTCTGAATCTCAGAGCCCAAAAGTAAGAAGTTTGTTCACTATTTTACTCCTAAAATTAACAACAGTTCTGCAATCTGTACATTTAATCAATTTTGAAGCACAATTCTTAACAGAGCAAAAAGATCTGTCTCCAAATTACTCCTCACTTTCCGTTCCGCTGTCTTCTGAGGAGACAACCAATTCTTCAGTTACTGCGTCAGACCAACACAGTTTTTTAGTACCTAGAAGTAATTAACAGTGTAACATTTATAAAGCAAGAAAACCCAAGAGCTTCAGAAAAAATACCTAGCAGTTAAAAAACCCAAACCACAAAACCAAAACAACAGAAACCTCCACACTTTAGACTACAAACTAGACCAAAACACTTAACTACTTCAAACTGCTTTTTATCTGTGCTATTCTGATAGAAAAATACCCTGACTCTGCTGTCTATAGCTTGCTATTAGAGGTCCTCTCATATGTTTTCAGAGGATTTGAGCAAGCCAGCTAAGTGTCACATACCCTAAATAAATGAGTATTTCAGATAAAGCCTATGCAAAAGTGAGGATGCTAATCATTTTATGCATTATAAACAATGACTCTTTCATTCCTTACCAACTGGAAAAGGGCTTTCATCTTCAAAATCTTCCCAGCGTTCAAAATCAAAAGACACATGAAGATTCTGTTGACAAAAACAATGAAATACCTGCGCTGATGCACACTATGTTCAGAACATTCAATAATTCTCAAATTAATTTCCACTTCACCTTGTTCTTCAGTAATTTGCACCATACTCCTCTTTTCTCTTTTGCGAGAACAATAACCACCTCTTTATCCTTAATCACACATGTGGACTTTTCTGCAAGTATATACTGCTGCAGCTCCATGTCAGCCAAATAAAGTTTGTCTCCTGAACAAGCACTGCATTATAAAAAAAGTTTTAAAAAATTAAATGCAAGCTGACAGCCAAATGTTTTATTATACTTAAATTTCTTAAACCTACCTGAAAACCACCTTCTCTTTAGAGAACTCACATTTACAGTCAGCCGCATTTGCTACTTTTACCTTCACTGTAACAGTCTCTTCATTTTGAAACCACTTTATTTCTGGATAAAAGCTACAATAAAGAAAGTTTAATTGCATTTTCTTCCAAAACAGAAAACAACCATGTTTTAGACAAGCTGTCTCACAGCCAGAATTTTTCCATTACAACCAACCAGCTGAGTTTCAGCATCTGAGGGTGTACTCAACCATAATAATTAGACACTGAACAGCAGTGTCAGCCAAGCTGGCTACAAAAGCACTGCAATCTCAGTCTGTGGAGGAGCGCACCCCCTAGTTCAATTGGGAAGACACACTCTGTTAACTTTGATATCCAAAGGAATCAAACTTCCTGCCTCATTTAAGGACACTATCACAGTCTAGTCTTGAAATGACAAAGGAAAAAGTAACAGTAGCAAGACCAACTTCTGAAAGACAAAGTAAACTTTTCAACTGACCATAGACACATTTCTCAAGTTTTTCAACCACTTATTCTACAGCTGTTATGCCTCAAACTTCCCCCAAATGCTGAAAGGTTTTAACCAGTGAAAGATAAATCCTATTAGCAGACTGCAATAACTGTTCACTCAGGTTACTTCCCTTACCATACCCAAACACTACCTCAAGGTGTATTACATAATGGAGAACTTAAAATGTGCTAGCCAAGCTGCAGAAGGAGATATATGTAGATTCAATCACCTTACCAACAACTTTTTCAACAGGCTAAAATACAAAATACTTCTGGTACTTCCACAAGAAAATGTCAGCCACCCATAAACAGCATTAATAGGTAGAAGAAAAAAAAGAGTAAGCCACCAAAGGGAAGCACCGCCTAGTCTGAAAGTAAGAAATTTTAAAACTTCTCAAGATCCACTGTCTGTTGACTTTGCCCACAAACCACATCTG